GCTCCCCGCTCGTCATTCCCAGGGGCACAGTCAAAGGCGGTTGGGTATTTCCAAGGTCTTTTGGATACTCCCGTGTGCCCTCCTGCGAGTGTTGCCCTGGAGAGTACCTGCTGGGAGGTGTTGGAGGTGGCCACCTGCAGAGAGGTGCTCATCTACCTCAAAGAAGTGGCCCACCATGCCGCTCTTCAGACACAGAAGGCCGGTATTCCCGTACAGGCTTCATCCCCAGGGGCTGAGGCAAAGCCAGAGCCAGAGCCAGGCCAGCTAAGCATCAGCTGACCGAGGAGGCTCTGGGGCTGGCTTGTTTGTCCAGGCTTCTCGTCCCCATCTTATCCCTGCTGTCTGGGCCAAAGAATACCACTGCCTCTTACGAGCGACCATAGTTCCAATTTTAAGGATGTTTGTGCTTCTGCCTGAGAAGAGACCCCGTGGACTGACAACCATCCAAGCCACGAGTACAGGCACAGGCCCAACTCCAGAGTCTATGAGGACAGTTCTCAATTTAGCTGCCTAGAGCCCCTTGGTGTATGAGACAACCTGATGCGGGGGCAGAAGAGGTCCAGTTTGATGGGGTCATTCAGCAGCTCTGTGCCCAGCTGCCATCCCTCCCAGGGACAGGCGATGGCAGCTCCTGACACCTGGCGCTCTTGGAGGCCGAAGGTGTTTCTTTTCTGTGACTACAGCAATGTGAATGTCGGGTTCCATAAGGACAGACAGACAGGGAAGGTCCTCTGGGGGCAGGATGTCCTGGCTGCCGCTGGTTCCTGGGGGTGGATCTTAGAAACAGGGTTAGGCAGATTCAGAGAGGGTTGGAGTCAAAGGTCTGGCTTCCTCCTGGAAGGAGAGGTCTATGGATACCTTCAGGCTCCAGATCAGTGTGGTTTTCCTCTCAGTGCTGTAGGCTTATGCAGGGTCCTTGTAATTAGACTCTCCCCAATTCCCTGCATCATGAGTTATTAATACTTACCCAGAATGCACCTATTATGATTAGATTGATGGGTCTCCTCCCCTCCCCTCCTCCTGTGCTCCCTCGGCTGAGTCCCCTCCCTAGGCTCCCAACTCAAGAAGGCCCAGTCCCCCTGCTGCCCTACACACTCCCGCTTTCAGGATCCCTGCTCCGTACTTTGTAGACACCCTGCACACCGTGACCATGGGGTGGGGTGTGTGATGGTGGACAAGGTAGGATGAACGCATTGGGTATGAAATCAGAAATTGCCATCAGGGTCTCTGCAGAGCTGAGTACAGGATGGTGGGGGCAGGCAGTCTCTTCTGTGGAAGCCTAGAAAAGCCCCGAGAAGGTTCCTCGGGAAGATGCTGTGTCTCGTTGTGTCCAAGTACCATCCCATACCCTCAGCTCAGATAGGGCTCTGGGTGCAGACCCTGCCTGACCCTTCCCAGCAGCCAGGGCTAGTAAGAGGTCCAGGCTTTCCATGCAGGTTTGAAGGGCTGTGGAATCCCAGCATGCTCTCCGTGTTGTGCAGAAGTGTGACTGGCATCCATCAAGTGAACAGAAACTGAGGAGGGGCAAGGAGGCTGGTGCAACCCATCTAGACCTCTTCTTGATAAAGTGTCCCTCCTACCTAGCTCCCTCAATGAAGTGAGCTCTATGGAACTCTGGGAACTATGGGGTTGGGGAGACCCAGTACTCCTTGTAACCCGCCCCGCCCCAACACACACACAAACTCAGCTCTCAGTTCTGAGCAGAAATCCCAGAACCAGACTTGTTTAGTGAGCCATAGTGGAATTATGGGGATGCCCTAGCAACTCCGCTATACCTGAGTCTTGAGGGAAGTGCTGTGGTCTTTTGCTCAGCATTCTGGGGGGGGGGCACCAATGGCCACTGTGAAAGGAGAAGGGGGAGCCCAGGCAAGAAGCAGGACTTTCACTTTCAGCCTCCCTGCAGGTACATTTGTCCTAGCCAAATCCCCGCTACCTGAATCCCATCCCTGGTGGAACTGCCAGATCTCATCTAGAAACATTCAGGCCCCCTGGACCCTTGTGCAACTAGCCCCACTCCCCATTTCAGGGACACTGATCACACTCCTGAAACTTCCTTCGTTTACGCCTGTGTGCCTGAGGCAGGCAGTCCTGTGTGCAGCCGATAAAACAGAAAGACGCAAGAGTGGGGAATGCGCCATCTAAACGAAACATTTGGCACAGCTGGACGTTTCCCAGGACTCCACCAGGGTGTTGGCTTTGGGGTAACGAGAGCCTAAGCTTCTGGTGGAAGAGACCTGAGCCTGCTTTTGAGAGACAGACACGGGGGTGGTCTTTGGGCTTCGTGCCTTGTTGCTACAGCCTGCAATGGTGGCAGGAGGCGGGCAGAAGAGAGGGTCTCAGCCTGGGCTTGTCATGCAGATTGATCTGTCCTTCCACCGCCTCCCTGAGACGTATTAATGGCGGACCTCAGCACAGTTCAGTTTTTCAAGTAAACTGGATTCCCTCTCGTGGAGGGAAACAGGGGGAAGCCGTTTGAGTTTAGGAGCCAGGGTCCTCACCTAACATCTCTACGTGTGGGTGGACCTTGTGGGCTAGTGGGTGGAGCCTCCATTGGCATCAACCTCTCCTGGGCAGGGCTGAGCCACACCCAGAGCTAGTACAGAGTCCGGGGTTCTGGGAGAAGATGGACAGGATGTCTCTGGGACAGGACGATCTGTAGGTTCCCTTTGCCCCTGCTAGCAGTGCCTCCTGTAGGCACCAGTCTCTGTCCAGGACTCTCTAAAGGAGAAGCCGTGTGGAGTGTGGAGTGCGCACTTGTGGGCGCTCCCTCTGCAACGAACACTTAGCAACATTGTCTCCCTTGTAGCCTTCCTTTTAAGTAAGTCAGCCCTTTGCCTTCCGGTGTCTTCTGTTAACTATGTGCTGCTCTCTTCCTCGGCTTCCCCCCTGCAGATGGTGTTGCGTGCTAGCCACAGCTCTTAATTGAACCACGCAAAGCCCTGGTCTCTCACCCTACCAGGAGGGCCCGCCCCTTCCTGGCCCTTTGCCACTCCCTCTGCTGTGCTGCACTCCGATTTTGTGACAGAGGGTGCCTGGCCAGAGTCCCAAATGGGGACTCTTGTGTCCTCACGCCTCCTCTTCTCAGCATCCAAGGACTCAGAAATCTCTGATAGCCTTGATAACGTGAAGCAGCGCCTTCTGCCTGGGGCCAGAGAACCAGAACAGTCTGGCCTGACACCTATGCTCCCGTTTCGATATAAGCAACTTTTATGCAGGGCTTAAATCACTGCTCCCCTCCCCCAGCTCACACACACAGGACCCAGAGAACTGTAACTCTCCTGAGATGCAGAGAAAGGCGTACACAGGAGGAGAGGTGGGGAACCAGGCATCCCTTCTGAAATGAAGGAATGCTATAGACTCTGGCAGTCACAGGTCAGGCCAGTGACAGGTGTCCTCTTTTGGAGGGCAGTTGCTCAGTAATAGAAAAAGAGCCAGCCTGGGGTGTTTTCATCATGAAGGATCTGCTGAGATGCCCTTTCTCTGCCAGGGTGGGACACAGGTGTGGTGGTGCCTGGGCACCAGAGCCCAGAAAAAGCACGGACAGAACTTGGGCTTAAGAAAGGGTGGCTCGGTGACAGCGAGGGGTCAGTGTGGGGCTCAGGGTATGCTTTGTGAACGAGTCACCTTTTCTGGACTCATGGCTTGAGAGGCAATGGGGGAGAGAGCCCTTATAACCAGGATAGCTCTGGAGAGACGGGGCCAAGATGGGATTTAGCTGGGGTGGGGGGGGGGGGGGGAGAGGGGTAGGTAATGAACACTACTGCTCTGGTTGCAGGAGAGGGGGTCCCAAGGTGCTGTACAGATGGGGAGTTCAAGGTTTACCTCGCCAAAGGCAGAGATGTGGGTGGCCTTGTCCATTTGAGTCTCAGCTTGTAGGACGTGCCACAAAAGTCCATCCTATTTCAGTGGGCTATGACTGTCCAATCTGTGGCTCAAAATGGGGGTAACCACGGGCCTCGACCCCCTGTGGGACTGGCCTAGGAGGGTGGACTTTCCCTTCCTGAGAAGTGACACCTGATCCGTGGTTCCATGGCACCCTCCACAGCATCACAGGTCTCAGAGATGCTGAGGCTGTGAAAGCCTGTCTGGTTACCTCCTGTCCCTCTGGCCATTGGTCACCACCAGCACCTCAGACTCCAGTGACAGCAGTTTGGCTTCCCCATGGACGGAGGTTTCTCCACTGGGAACCAACTAGCCCCTAGCACCCTTGTGAGCTGACTCTCTGGGCTTGGCTGGCACCATCCAATCTTCAGCAGGGCACACTGGGCCTGAATACGCCCACGCCAAGGACAGACGGGTAGAAAAGGTGGGCAGACTCTCGACATGGGACCATCAGGCAACTCACCCCCTTGCCCTTCTAGTCTCTGTAGGGCACATCAGTATACACACAAGCCATGCGGAAAGAGCTCAAAGTTCCAACCGGTGCTTCAGGTGAAGGCCAGAGTTCCCAACCCATTTGTTCCAGAAACTTCCACAAAACCCAGACAGACCCTTGCGTACCTTCTCATCACCTCTCGGCTTCATTTTCTGTGACTGGCTCCCAGGGCTGGTTAAGACAGCAAGACCCCCATTGGTGATGCCTGAATTTCCCTTTAAATGCCCAGCCTGCACCCACCAAGTTTCAATATACTGATTGTCTCCCAAAGGAAGTTCACACAGGATGACTCGGGCTTTTCCCGAAATATGACAGGCATCTAAGGCCCTGTCAAACACCGTTAGAGTTCGCAGGCAATGGGTAACTGCGCTGTGGACTCCGACCTAATGGTCCTGAGGCCCATAAAGCACCCCGGAGTTCTCCAAGCCACTTCTCTCCACTGCCAGGCCCAGCATGACCTTTGGGCCATGCCCCTGGCCTTCCCAGAGCAGGGCCTGGTGACCAACCCTTCTGGTTCTGCACCCCAGGTCTCCCCAGTGATCTCAGAGCAGCCACGGAGCTAGACAGGCTGGCCACATCTAAAGGCCCGACATGGTCTGACCCGGCCACTCTCACTAGGCTTCTCTGAAGGCGTCTGACCATATGTGTGGCAATACTATTTTATTTATTTTGTGTGGAATCCATGAGAGTCAGGGTTAACAAGGGTCATGGTGACCAGTCCTGACCTTGACCGGAAGGGGACTGTTCAAAAAAAAAACAACAAAACACAACAGAGAAACCGAATCACTTGCCGTAGACATCAGCAATGGGGAGATTTCATTACTTTAAAAACAAGACACACAAAAGGCTGTCTTCCTTATCCTCCAAGTGTGGAAGAAAGACAGTCACGTGACTTGAACTCTGAGCGCCAGAAGTGCTACCCTCCCACCTGGAACTGAATGCAATGTACTTAAAGGCCTGGTGGTGGCAGGTATCTGCATGCAGCTGCTGAAGAAGCGGAGTCCTCATGGAAGGATCTTCCCCGCTGTGGGTGAGGCCGGCCACGCAAGAGCACGTACGCATGCGCACAGAGAGGCGCAGGCCAATACCGCCGAGGTGGCTTTGTGGCTTGCTTTTCTTCACGATAGGTGTGGGTGGCACAGAGGCTTGCCCTCTGCAGAGGACACACAGGAGGTGGTGACATGGGAGAGGCGTGGGTCTGCTGACTCCAAACCCGAGGGAGCACTCAAAGGGAGTGGACAGCCCCTCCTGGTCACCGCTGCGGAAGGCTAAGGCCAGTGGGCTCTTCCCTGAGTGGCAGGTGAGGTCCCTGGGCCATGGTTTGCCGCCCTTGTGACAGCCTTTACATCCAAGTCCCCAGAGCAGTTTTTTGAAGGACCCTGATGGAGAACCTTGCCCTCCTTTTATGGGTGAGGAAATGGCTAGGGGAACCTTTCACTCCCTGCCAGGGAAGCTCTGGAGAGAACTGGCTTCTTAGGTTTGGGGTGGTTCCTTCTAGACCAGGTTAGTGCAGGACAAAATGGCATTGCAACCTTTTAGAAACGCAAGACTAAGTCCAGAGGCTGCTCTGTTCTTCAAGGACTCCAGGGATCTGGCGAGTCTAGCCTCGGGCTACCCAGCTTCCCTGTGTCCCCCTCCCTCCTTGGTGGCCCAAATGGGTGGGCCCTGGCCCGGCCCATCATGAAACCAGGCTATACCCCTGCATAAGTTTTCCACCCTTCTGGGCAGGGTGACCTCCAGAGACCTCTGCCAGGCTCCTTCCCACTGTCTGGCCAGCCCAGGGTGTCCCTAACAAACCCAGCCTGACTACACTGGAAAGGAGTCCATGTAGAGGGGAGGACACAGGTAGACTCTTGGCACTGTGAGGGGCTGATCTCCGCCTGAATTAATTCTGTCAAGCACGAAGTAGGTCGGGTGAGTAGCCCAGTGGGGCAGCACACTCGTCTAGCATGAATGTGGGCTCCAAGTGCCGCACACTACCTCCTCAGCACAACACAACATGAAAGAAAGGAAGAGGACAGAGGAACCTCTCGGAGCTGACTCCTGATCCAGCCTACAGTTCTTCCCATTTCCTTATTGCGGTACCCTCTCCATGCCCAGGGCCATCAAAGGCACCAGCTTCCCCCAGGCACCAGCTCCCGGTGACCCTCCACTGGGCTGCTGCCCTCCTGTCCATCAAGGGCTTCACACCACTTATAGCAAAAACTCAGAAGACCAAAATCTTCCCTTCCTGAATTTAACCTGTTTCCCTCCGTGTCCCCAGCTGTTCACGAACCACATAGCTCTGTCTGCAGAGGTGAGCCAGGCTTCCTGGCTGGCATTTGAAGGCAGAGCTGTCTGGGGAAGCAGCGTCTTCTCTGTGCCCAGTGAGGACACTGGCCCCGGCAGAGAAGCACACATCCTACTCCAACCTCCTGCTGCCACCCCCTCCCCCAACACTGTCCCCTCCACGTGGACAGTAAGCGACCCCTTCCAAGGTAGGCATCATGCCTCACCAGTGTTATCTCTCTCTCTCTCTCTCTCTCTCTCTCTCTCTCTCACACACACACACACACACACACACACACACCCCAAAGGTATCCTTCTTGACCAGAGCCCCAATGACATTAGGTGATGTCGTCAGCACAGACATTAGCGGCAGGCTATGCGCACACAGGCGTGCTTGGTCAATAGCATTAAGTGTCATTTTAAAAAATGGGTTAAATAAGCCTTGTGGCCAAGAGACGGTGTGCAGGCTGATTACCCGTGATTTGTATGTCCTGGCGGTGGGAAGGCTAGAAGTCTAATGACTGAATTATCACCCTAATGCCTTTTGCTGGCTGGGAATAATCCTGGGGTAACAGCTGCCACAGGGTATTTGGCTGGTCTCCTCTAATTGCATCCAGATTAAGGTTGCTGTTCCGTGTGTGCAGGGCCTCTCCACTCCTCAGAGCAGAGCAGGGCTCTGTGAGCCCACACACCATGTCTGGCTGCAGAGGCCCCAGATGGTCTAACGCTGCAGGTAACACCAGGGACCGATAGTCCACGGGACTGGGGGGGGGGGATACCTGGTACAAGGCTGTCACTGACCCTTCTGGGTCAGGTCTCGAGGAGCACTGGGAGCTACAGATCCTTGCTCTCTGAGACTCTCCAGGGTATGTGACTCCCTGGACCTGCTCTTCCGCCCCCACCCCTGTCCCCACCCTACACAGCCGAGTGTAGGAGACAGGGTGCTGTGTGATCCTGGGAGGGGGAGGGTAGGAGCTGGCTCCTCCTCCCTGGGAGTGATCTGTATCTAGATTTCCTGGAGTGGTAGGCAGATGGGACCCCTCTGAATCACCAGGCCTCTCCTACGTGACTGCTCAGAGTAGCCCCTGAGCCGAGGCTTCACTCTCCTGGATGCCGAGTTCAGCCGGGCCACCTGCTCTGCTGCCCCTCGGTTGGTCGGCAAGTGTGGTGTCCACCAGCACTTAGAAAATCACTGCTCATTTCTGCCTCTACTGTCATGGGGTGACCCGAGACCCAGAGGCCAGTGCCACCACACACTCACTGGGACTTCAGAAATGGTGACCCCAGAAGAGAGTGAGCAATTCTACCCAAGACCAGAACCTCCCAGCCTAGACTGCTGACCCAACGCTCGCCGGAGGTGCCAGTCAGGTTCTAGCCATGGAGGCTCTGCCCTGTATAAGGATACTGGGTGCTAGACAGCGGATATGCCTGTACCCCAAAGATCAGGACACTCTCTCCCACAGGCTCTTCCTAGAAGGACCCATGTCCTCAGAGAAGGGGAGACTGGGAAGGGGAGCGGCCGGCTGTAAGAGGTCTCTGCTTACATTCTGATAAGCACCTTTTAACATGGCACTGTCCTGCAGTGCAGCTCTCAGTGAGAAAACTCAACAGCAGGGCACCTCTGCCCACCCCTGCCGCTTGCATCCCCACACGGACTCAGCCCATGACAGAGGGATCAAGGCTTCTTCCTTACACCAGCTTTTGGGACACCAGCTAGGGATGCTCCGGAACACACCATTAACCAACCTCCGTCCTCAGCTTTGGAGGATGGAGTGTGGGGGTGACCTTTTCCTTGGGAAGAGGCAGAGCATCCCAGTGCTGCTCAGTCAGCAGAGATGCCAAGGGACAGAAGCCCCCTTGCATAACAGGAACCAGGTCCTGCATGGAGGTGGAGGCCCCTCCCCAGCCATTTCAGATGCCTTTGTCTTTGTGGGGGATTTAGATACTCTCACCTCCACAGGACCAAGCATTTTCTCTTCAGAGGACCCCATGGTTGCACATACCACACCCCTCAACCCATTCAGGCCTCAGTGGGTTGCTGTTTTTGGTAGAGAGGACAAAACTCAGACCCTAAGGGGAGGATCCCAGTGGGAGGTACAACCAGCCTTTTCCTCTGGGGTAGGCATGTCCTTCCCAACACTCACATGGGCACTGTGGGAGCTCAGGTCTGAATATCTGCTTTCTCTCTCTCTCTTTCTCTCTCTCTCTCTCTCCCCTCTTTCCCCCCCCCCCCCCGAACAGGTGTCTTCACAGGGGTCTTGCAGCTGTGACCAAGAGGCTTCAGAAATACACTTGACTCACTCGGGACGGCCCTGCTCATCTGTGCCCCTCTGTGCCAGTGTGAGGATGAAGCCTTTTCTGGATCCTGCTTAGCCCACAGCTCGTGGCCAGACTCTGGGCTCTGCTGGAGTCCCCCAGCCACCCAGCAGCCTGCACTGTTGTGCAGCAGGCAGACTTCCGGGGCCAGCCTTTCAGGAGCTGAATTCTCGGGGCATCTGATATCTGCTGTCACTTCTAGAGTCAGATTCTGTCGTCATGGTGACAAGGCTCTCTTCGCATTGGCCAGAGGCCTTTCCTTGTATTTCTAGATTCTGTTCCCTTCACGACCATCCCCACCCCCTCCCGCTTGCCCAGGACCCCAGGGAGGTCGTCCTCTTGCTCCGTGTCAGAGCAGAGCCTTTCCTATCTGCGGAAACCAAAGGCCTCCCGCGGTGCCTTTGGGCCTTTCTTGCCTTCTCTTGGGGGCTTAGGTGACGGCATCTCCATTGTGCCCCCATAGGGACAGTTCTCAGAGCCCGGGTGGTGGCCGGCACACTCCACAGCTGGCATGTACCCGCTGTCCCACATGCCTGTCCCACACAGCTTACACAGGTCATGTAGGCTGCAGGGGATCCGTGGCAGAAGGCGGAACTGGTACAGGAGACTCCTGGCCTGCAGAGAGAAGAAAAGCTAAGGGGACAGCCCAGGCCATCGGGATGCAAGGGAATAGTGGAAGAGCATGGAACCAAGGGACACACTCATGGAGGGGACAGCACAGTGGCCTGGGTCTTCACTGGCTGCCAAAAAGGGACCCTGAGATACTTGGGTAGTTTACGACATGAAATCCCCAAGTGGGTGAGGCATGAGAGTCAGAAGGGCACCCCCCCCACAGCCCTTCCTGTCCTTTGCAGGAGCCTTCAACCCTGTCCCCATTTCTTTTGAACTGTAAAAGGCCCCTACCAAGTTACCCTGCACCCCTGCAAGGTCTGTCTGGGGTGCCCAGTGTGGTGATGGGCCCGAGGACCCCTTCTCCTCCCCATGGACCACCAGAGGACTAGAACTCAAAGCACTGTCAGTTAGAGTGTGGGGAGCAGGAGGTGGCTGAGACTCAAGCCACGGGTAAGAAACGAGGCTTTCTCTCTCCCTCACTTCCTAGCTCTGGACAGGAAGGAGGCACTCCTGGGTGGGGACTGGCTGGGCATGTATACATTGTAGCAGATGAAAGAGGCGGTGACCAGGGACAGCCCCGACACGACAGATTCACATTGCTGGGCTGAGGAGATTGCATCAGGTGTTAGTCCCCATGGACTTGGAAGAAAAAGCCCAACAGGCAAACGAAGGGCAGGCTGAAGCTCTGGAGGTGGGGTGGTACCCATGTGCAGGGGTGGGGCTCTGTGATGTGAAGGGCTCTGCGTGCAAGCTGAGCCCATGTGCTGGGTAGGGCTCTGTTGGCAGGGGTGGGTCTGTGAGGTGTGGGTGGGGCTCCATGTACGGGGCTGGGACTGTGAAGTGTGGGTGGGGCTCCATGGGCAGGGGTGGGTCCTTTAGGTACGGGTAGGGCTTCCCATGTCAGGGTGGGTCTGTGAGGTGTGGGTGGGGCTCCGTGGGCAGGGGTGGGTCTATGAGGTGTGGGGCTGTACAGCATGTGGCCTGCTTCTGTACGGGGCGGGCCTGTGCGGCTCCCACCTTCCTGAGCACCAACTCTCCGTTCATGTGCATGGCCAAGTTCCCAAAGTGCAGGAGCATCTGGTCTGTGGCCAACTGTTGCTCGATGACGTCATCCCCATAGATGGCCACAATGGCCACACAGATGAAGAGGTGGAAGTAGTCCGTCTGTGGGAAGACAGAGAGCTCAGAGGGGCCCTGCCGAACCTGAACCGGAGCTCAGCCATGACTGTGGCCAAGGTTATCTGGGCCTGGTCCTATGCACCTGGGAAGCCTGCACCTCTGGTTCAGCCTCCACTTCCCCACCTGAAGACTGGGCCGGTGGTGACGATGACACGCTGGGCCGCTGTGACATACTAATGGATGATAACTGTGCCACACCCTGGCCATTGGTGCTCTCTTGGGAGGTGTCTGTGATGAGGGAAGAGAACACACACTTTCCTCCCTAGCCTGTCTGAACTCACGCTGGACCTCATGCACAGAGGTCGTGAGGGTGTCGTGTGTGTGCAAAGGGCTGATCAGACAGCTTCCTGAAGACTCTAGAATATGCCAACCAAAGTTCTGGCTGCTGATTTCCTGGTGGTGAGTCCTCCTGCATCAGTCAAGTGTCCTTAGCATGCGCCCCTCTCTATGGTTGGTGGCTGAGCATCTAGGAAGATCCCTCCTAAGTCACTCCCTCGAGGCCCATGGAAGGCTGCTGCTACCATCTTGCCGCCCCTAACGAGATGCCCACAGCCCCTCCCTGCCTCCTGTAAGGCCACCTTGTGGCTTTCTCTTGCCTGGACACATGAAGGTAGAAGGATGGGGGTTCTAGAAAGTCCCTGTTGAGTATCTTGATAATACCACGTGGGCTGCCATCTCCCAACCAGACCAGCAGCGTGCAGAGGCGGTGGGTGTTGAAGTCCCCATCCTTGGCCTGCCCGCCTTCTTATTCCGAAGGAATGGGAGGATGGAGAATGAGAGACATTCTACAGGGATTGGCCCAGAGCGCCAGCTCTCAGGGCATCAAGCTACAGCACAGAGGCCTCCATGAAGCCTTCCCTTCGGAAGCTTAGCCCTCACCTGGCAGTGACTCCCCTCTAGCGCTCACTCCTGATTCGTTCATCATCTGAAAGGATTTCATTCTCAGCTGGTGGGGGGCGGGGATGTTCCAGATGGGACCACTAATTCCAAAATCTGATGGCAATGTAAACTTGTTTTGTGGGTCTTGAACACAACAGTGTCCAACGGACTAAGGAGCAGGAGCTGCCAAGAACCTCGGAGAACAGCTGGGTTACTTCCCCCTGACTCAGCCTCCTTGGCCACTCAGGATGTCTGTCTAGAATAGTCTTTAAGTCTAGGATGCATTGGCAAGCAACGGATGCTGCAGGTGGCAGAGGGAGAGCGACTTCGGAGTGTGCTCTCCATAGCCAGGGTACTGCTCTTGGTTTGTGCAAGCACACGTGTGCATGTACAGATGTGTGCTCTCCACGTGAGGCCAGAAGATGGTATCTCAGGGTCTCTTGCTGGGACCTGAAGCTCAGCAATTAGGCTAGACTGACTGGCTAGCCAGCCCAGGAATCGGCCTGTCTCCGCTCCCCCAGCATGGGGGGGGGTTATAGGTGTGCACCATCAGCTCTTTTTTGTTTGTTTTGGTTTTCTGTTGCTTGTTGTGTTTTGTGACAGTTCATACTGTGTACTCTTGACTTTCCTGGAACTCACAAAAATCTGACTGCTTCTACCTCCAGAATGCTGGGATTAAAAGTGTGTACCACAATGTCTGGCATGCCTGACTTTAAAAAAAAAAAAACAAGAGTTTAGGACTCCAGTGTGAATTCACAATCTTGCAAGGTAAGCACTCTACCCACTGAGTAATCTCTCCAAACTTGAGTATTATTATTTTTAAGGCTGATGGAGTCAAAACGACTTGCTGACTTCCTTACATTGATGGCTTGGGTGTAGCTTAGGATGTAGAGTCAGCCCGGTGGGGGAGGAGAAACTGATCGTGTAGAATGAGTGGATGCCCTGATTCAGACTCTCTCTGGAGCCGTGGAAAGGCAGCTCAGGGTGGTCCGGCAGTCCCAGGGGGCAGGGCAGCATAGCACTGGCCACAGCATGTGGGGACATACATCCTGGGCTGCTGTGACTGTCCTGTGGTGCGGATATCCCTCCTACTGACTGGCTGTGACAGAGGCAGTAATGAGCATGTCAGCCAGCAATTTACATTGATTTCAATTACATGGGAGGGGAGGTCTGAAGCCAGCGGCACTAGCCCGGAAAACTGGCGCGGCTGGATGGGGTGAGGAGGAGACACCCCCACACGGGAGGAGGTTTGGGGTGCCCCACCGCCTAAGCACAGGATAGTGACTGCACTCACAGGTAGCAGTGCTGGCTCTGCTCACCTGGTAGTGGGCCCAGCAGGCCTCCCAGATGCGCAGGGCCTCGGCCTCAGGAAACTCCCGTTTGAAGCAGAGCAGGAGCCAGCGATGGCAGAACAGCATCTGGAGGCCATCCTCGCCCAGCGAGACCAGGTGCTGGTAGAAGCGCTGGTGTGTCAGCCGCAGCAGCTCCCGCAGGTACAGCTGGGAGTGGAAGGGGAGTGGAGGGTGTTACCCAGACCCCGGGAAAACCTGCCTACCAGGGCCAGAAAGACCTTACTCAGGGCACCTTCAAGCCCCAAAGCACACACAGGAAATCTTTCTGTCTGCCAAACATATCAGCCAGCTACTATGTCAGACTACCACTGGAACATAACCAGAAGCCCCCCTTCTCTCTCTCTCTCTTTCTCTCTCTCTCTCTCTCCCTCTCTCTCTCTCTCTCTCTCGTGTGTGTGTATATGTGTGTGTCTCTGTGTGTGTGTGTGTGTGTGTGTGTGTGTGTGTGTGTGTGTATGCAGGCCAGAGGTTGACATTGGGTATCTTCTAACAGTCTACCTTATTTTATTTTTTAAAAAAGGTTTATTATTAAACAAATTGAACATATTTATTTTATGCGTATGAGCGATCTGCCTGCACGTATGTCTATGCATCACACTGATGTCTGGTGTCCACAGAGGCCAGAAGAGAGAACTGGATCCCCAGGAACTGGAGTCACAGATGGTTCCTAGCAATTGTATGGGTGCTTGGATCCAAATCCAGGTCCCCTGCAAGAGCAGTCAGTGCTCTTAATCACTGAGCTGTCCCTCCAGCCCTTATTTTATTATTGCTAATCATGCAAGTAGAGATGGGCTTGTGCACATGACTTCAGGTAGCCAAGGAGGCCAGAGTTAGTGATTTCTGGAACTGGAGTTACAGGCAAGTGTGAGCTGATGGACTCAGGTGCTGGGGATCAAATTCAGGTCCTCTGTAAGAGCGGTGTGGTGCATCCTCTAACCCTCTCAGCCATCTTTCCAGCTTGAGTCTACCTTTTTCGGACAGTCTCTCACTGAACCTAAAGCTCGCCAATGAGCTGGACGGGTTGGGCAGCAAGCGGCAGGGATCCACCTGTCTGTGAGCTTCCCCGGGACACACCCAGCATTTTCCCCGGGTTCTGGGGATGGGGACTGTGGTCCTCATGCTTGTACAACAGGCACTCTGCTGAGTCATCTCCCAGCCCAGCCCTGGAATCTTGCACACACCTGTCACCAGTGCCTCTTAGATCGAAAGATATCCCAGGAGACCATGGTATAGCCCTCGGCATAGTATGACCTCCTGGGTGGCCAAGGAGACTGACTGACTCAGTGTGAAGTCATCCCTCAGCCTCAGTCGACCCCCAGGGGCTGTTCTAATGGATGCCTAACCAGGCAGGGCAAGCAGGGTTATTCATAAAACCCCAGCAAAAGCCCCTTCTGTCCCACCATGATCTAGCGACTCCCAGAGCTGATTGCAGTTTCAAGACGCTGTCTGAGTTTCAAAATGCTGGATTCCTGTGTGTCAGGTCACCGGGTCGCATGGGACTTGACAGAGGCTATTTCTGGCAGCACCAGGTGGGGGCTGCCGACTACTGACGCCACCGGGAAACCAATCTCCAGCAGCTAATGAGTCACTGGCCATGTGCCGCCAGGCTGCTAGGGTGATGGCGTCAGACCCTGTAATTGCCTCCCTGGGTACCGTGGAAACCTGACATCACAGGGATGCGTGATGAGGCAGGGGCCGAGTGTCTGGTTAGGGGTCAGTTGTCTGCTGCTGAGCGGGATCAGAGGCTCCCCAGGATAGTGGGGCCTCAGGATTCAGGACTCCTAAGCAAGCACACTGCTATCCCTAGCGCCTGAAGTTGTGTGGCTCCCAAGTCCTGGAGTCCTTCCTGACCGGCCAGGGTCTCCACTCGGTGGCTCACAGAAGGTCGAGGCCACTGTGTGGCTGACAGTTCTCTAATAGACGTCTAGCGTGCACAATAGTGTGTGCACAACTGCCGAGTGCCCTGTACCTCCTGCCGCAGGCTGTTCCTCACACCTTTGCTCACACAACCCTCCAGTCCCCAGGGGTTGATCTATGGGCCATGCTTCCTGCCCTCCTCAGTTCTGCCATCACTGCCTGAGGCATACGTCATCCAGCCACTGAGTCTCCAACACTTGAGACCATATGGAATAGAGACGGCCATGGGAGGGGCACCTGCGACTCCTGTCCTCAGAGTTCAGTGCCCTCGGGTCCTACGCTCACTCTGTCAGCTTGTCTACTTCCAGACCAGGCCATATGCGGGACAGAGGGGAGGCCACCCACATCCTGGCAGAAGCTTGATACAAACACAGGTGCCTCTCAGTGACAAGATCCAGTCCCCAGCCACTCGGTGCTTCTCAGTTTATGTACAGCTGATCTCTCGGAGATGGGAGTGGGACATGGGATCAGAGTCAGCTGAGCCCCACAAAAAGTCAGCTTTTTTTTGGGGGGGGTAGAGATGTGAGACTTGCCTGCTGGACATCTGGGTAATATTGGAGACCTATGTACCCACTGCATACAGCTGCCCTGGAGGTCTGTAATAGGCCCTGCTAGTGACACACACCTGAGCCAAGTAGCATGGACCTCCCTTTCTTTGCCCTACCCAGGAGGCTGGATTGTGATAGCCCTGCAGGGAGGCAGAAGGCAGCAGGGTAGGGTCTTAAACAGTCAGTCTCTGGGGTTTCAGGAAGAGAGGCTTAAGAGGCTGGCCCAGACCCAAACACTTATCTCCTGGAAGTGGCCAACTGGCTCTTTCCAGGAGACTCTGGTTTTCTGCCATATACTGACTCCTGATATCGTGGCTGCATTTCACCCTCAAGACCCCTGGCAGCAGCTGGGCAGTGATAGTGCATGCCTTTAATCCCAGAACTGAGGAGGCAGAGGCAGGCAGATCTCTGAGTTCTAGGCCAGCCTGGTCTACAGAGTGAGTTCCAGGACAGCCAGGGCTACACATAGAAAAACCGTGTCTCAAAAAAATAAAACCAAACAAAACAAGGCAGTGTGCTGTCTCTTTTAACCCTCCAGTACACAGATACACATGCACATACACATATGCACACATATGTAAGCACACATACCCACATATATAAGGCACAATATATACATGCCCACACAGCACACAGTGATACGTGCGCGCGCGCACACACACACACACACAAACGCACCTGAGCTTGTCCTCATGCTTCCTCACCATAGTACACATATTCAGTGTACACACACACACGCACACAAATGTACATGTGAGCTTGTCCCCATGCCTCCTCACCATAGTACGCATACTCAGTGTACACACACACACACACACGCACGCACACACACACACACATGCACGCACGCACGCCTCACCAGCTGTCTCTCCATGTCCTCATCACGGGGAGAGCTAACGAAGATGGTGTTCTGCATCAAACCCACGAAGCACCAGAAAGTGTCCGATTCATCCAAGACCTCAGCCAGGATGGGGGCCACCAGGTCTGACATGCCCTGTGAGTAGCCGATGGCTGGATTGTACACAGCATAGTTCAGCAGGATCCTCCTGGTAAGGCAGTGGGGAGCAGAGGTGGGTTGACCCAGCCCATCCCGTAGTCCCCATCAGCACCTGTCGCACAGGTACTGGGGACCCTCCTTCATCTTGGTCTCAGGGGAGGCAGCACCCAAAAGCAGATGCCACAGAGCTGATGATCCTGAGAGTGCAAATAATTATTGGCCGGGTGTGGTTTGCATGCCTGTAATCCCAGCACTCAGTAGGCATGCAGATCTTTATGATTTTGAGGCCAGCCTGCTCTATATAGAGTTTCAGAACAGCCAGAGCTGCATAGAGAAACCCTGCCTCAAAAAAAAAAATAAAAAATAAAGTCTGGGCTCTGATGGAAGTCCGTGGGACTCATTTTTCAAGTGGTAACAGCATTTGCCAGAGCCCAGAGCAGGGGCTGGGTGGGAATATGGGTCCTGCTTTCTTAGCGGGTGGTTCAGTGTCTGTGACACAAAGGGTGGGCTGGCTAGGTCGTTTTTATGGGCTATTAATTTTGTGCAGTTACTTGCCAGGCTGCAGCAGAGTATCGGAGGTGGCAGCCTCGGACTCAGTATGGCGTTCCAGAGGAGGCCCATCGTGAGGAGATGCGAGCACACATGGCAGCATGGGGAATGTCCTTCGTGAGCAAGGGGCCAAGCCAGGAGAGGGTTGGGGAGGCTTGGCTGGCACCCTCAGCTGGGACTCAGTGGCTGCTACAGGGGTCAGGAGCTAAGGTAGCCTGTGGGTCCCCTGCTTGGGTGGAGTGCTGTGCTGCACAGCAGCCTGGGAGTCCCACAAGGCCGATCACAGACTTGCACACGGGGAGGCCAGGGACACCAGGTACCTCATGCTCTCCACATTCGGGTTGTCCTCCCCTCGGAAGAACTGGTTGTTCCTATCTGTCCGAACCACATCCTTGTCCACGGTGAACTGCACACTGCGCCAAAAGGCTCTCTGCTCCTCAGGAGTCATGGAGAGCCTGTGGGGAAGACAGAGCGCCATCCTGAGGTCAGCTGTGGCAGGGGGATGCCCTGGAGTACCCAGGGAGGGGACCTGGAGTAGCTGCACTCCCGGATATAGAGGCCTGTGCTCTGCTAGCTCCAACCTCTGCTGCTGGGGCTATGGGCACCAACAGAGGAGTGTGTGCGTGCGTGCGTGCACTGTCAGCACCAACACTCCAGCTCCCAAGAGGACATGTGAGTGTGTGTGTGTGTGTGTGCGCGCGCGCGCGTGCATGTGCCTGTGTGTGGTGTATTCAAAGCTTTCCTTATGTTAATTCAAGCCCAGCCCTGCAGAGGAGAGCTGACTGCAGCCTGTGGGCAGTGAAACCCTTGAGGGAGGCAGCCTTCAGTCCTGAAGTCAGGTTTTCAGCCCAGCCTACCGCTGGTGAACACTGGCCCTTGGACCAAGGTGCTGGGGGTGTGGTGTAGCAACTACCCTTCTCCTGCCAATGGCGCTGGCTCTTGGGAGACTCATGCTCCAAAGAAACCACGGTTCACGGAATATGGGTCGGTGATGAATTACACCTCTGACTTCCCCGCCATGGTTAGATGGGACTCCTGGGGCGCAGTGCACCTTTTTTGCTGGATTGCTGCGTACTCCTTTCGCTTCTGCTCCCGCAGCGCCTCGCGCTCCTCCGACGTGGACTCGTGGCTGTAATAGTGCAGCAGGAAAGGCCAGACCTCCCCCCGGATCGACACATCAATGCCGCCAAAGAAAATGGCCTGGAGGAAGCAGCCCAAGTTGAGGGGGTAGGGTGGGGGGATAGAGTATAAAACAGGGCAGCTCAAAGAACCCCAAATCCCCAGAGAAGGGTGTCGTGGGGCCTTTGGCGCGCCTCGATTCAGACCCCGGCAATTTGCACATGTTTACAAGGGGAAAGTGTTGGAGAGGCATTCCCATACAGGATACAAACCGGCTCATTTCAATGTCAAAGCCCCCCCGGGGTGGCACTCTGAGATCGATGTGTCATTCTCACATCATGGACTAATCCTGGGGGTTTTAATACTCCAGAGTCTGCAGGGCCCACATGGGATCCCCAATCTTGTGCAATTGTCTCCTCAATGAAGCCACCTGACCGCTTCATCAATGCAGCCAACAGAACCCTCCAGAGGAGGTGGCCCACCACCCACCACCCTCTGTCCCCGCGGCTTGACTACAAGGGTTCCCCGGAGGCTGACCAGGTGGCCGCCGCCGTACCTGGCGTAGCTTGTATTCCTCCTCCACCTGGCCCAGATCATTCAGGTGGTTGAGCCAGGCAGACACGTCCAGCCTCCGGTACAGACTCTCTTCCGGGTGGGTCTCAGAGGATGGCAGCTTGGGCCGTCGGATAGAGAACTGCATGCATGTCCTCTCATCTGTGACCTGCTGGGTGGGTGGGAGGAGCCCCGGGTGGAGAGCAGGATCTCAGATCTTGGGCTCTGGAAGCCTGAGATGCTGTTCCCAGGATGTCAAAGCCACTCTCTCCTCTGGGAGGAGGGGAGGCGCTGTCCCTGCACATAAACTCCTAAATGGCTAGTGTAATTAGACACAATTAAAATGAAAATACCTTCATCCTAACACCGCTCTCCCTTTGCAGCTCACAGCCTCCACTGCCCCCACTCCCTCTCCTGCCCCAGCCGCAAAGAAAACCAGAATTAATACCCCTTACGGCCCAACTTCCCTCTGCCAGGGAGAGCCTGCAATAGATTCCATTCGATCGGCCACATACAAAGGCCCGCTGTTCGGCGAGCGGGGGAGCCAGCCTGTCAGACTGTCTCCATGTGCAGTCACGAGTCCAGGGCGAAACCGCAGCTGACATTTAATTCAAAAATCAAAGGTTGCTCGATGCAGAGGGGGGCACATACCTCTATTGTAATAATGGGAGCTGGCGGGAGGCTCTGCGGGTAGGGCTGTAAAGTCAGCCCCCGGATCTAATAAGCACATACAGTACCTTAAGCAGGTGATTAAAGGGCTCTTATTGCCTCTGTATGCAGATTGAGCAAAATATGGCAAGAGGCCTTGTCAAAACATGAGTCTTCAAGGGCTCAGAATGACTTTCAGAAAGGCCTGGGTACACAGTTCAACCCCAAGTACATTGCTGGCAGTCACCGCAAACCAGACAGCCAAATGCCATCGTCCCGAGGGGATCCCTAGAGCCAGACCGGTGAGGAAGGTGTCGCGGGATGGTCCCAGACCCACGGGTTTGGGAGCTGGTATTCTGGGAGAGGCATTTCCACTCCTGACCCTAACCAACCACGTCCGCCCCACTCTCCGCTGGGTTACCTGGTCCCTGAGGTGCGTCTCTGTGCAGAACTTCCATTGCTGGAACACCTCGGAGAGCTTGTCCAGGCCACCGTGGTGGAAGTGGAAAATCTTGTACTGGCTCTCCCGGCTGGCCACCACCAGCTGGCCACTCGTGCAAGCCTCGTCACTAAAGGGTCACAGGGTGGGGGAGGGACGGAGGCGTTCACGCAGGTTCTGAGGTCTGAGTTTAACCAGAGCACGCTGTCAGCCACCTCAAGCAGGAAATAGTGAGCCCCACGGGAGTCTGGCTGCTGTGTGCGAGGGGCGGTGTCAACCAAACTCAGTACTCCCTCTACCGAGGAAGGCAGCTGGATCCAGAGAACCCCTGCACACCATTCCTGAGCCACCCAGGAGACCTGGAGGAGTGCGGCAGGGCTGGTTGGAGGCAGATCTGGACCACGCAAGGATTTATTCAACCTCCTCTACCCTCATGTCTGAATCATAAGGGGTCTCGGGAGGGGGCTTCCTAAAATCATACACACAGGCACACATATTTGCGCACAGACACGCCGCCAGAAAGCAGACTCACCTGAAGAACAGTCTCAGGGAACGCATGTGGCCGAGGTCCACACGGAACACACCGTAGATCTGCTCCAGGGCGCATCCCCGCTGTGGCTCATCCCAGCGAGGCGTCTGCAGGAGGCCATTGCTGTCGGGGAACCGCAGGTTGGCATCCGAGCTAGAGGGGGAACTGGCAGAGCAGGTGGTGTGAGGTGAGGACCTTGCAGCTCTCCGCTACGCCAGCCCAGGGGAAGGATGGGGAGGGTGCCGCGTAACATTCACCCCGAGCTTAGACACATGGCATACGACAGAACATGCTTTGCCAGAAGCTGCGGCCCAGATGCTAGGGAACGAACAAGTGAGCGAGTCGGTCCGGTTGCACGGTGATAGTTTGGCTTGACTGAAAAAGCGTTTTTTCATGAGCAGACGCCGAGGTACCTTGATACAGCAGGAAGTCGCCAGGATGGCAGACAACACTAGATAGAGCTCACACCTCCTGAGTGAACAGAGGTGTGTTACCAAGCCTCCCCGAGCCTCTACATCTTATTTATAATGTGAAGATAGCAAGGAATAAGCAACTGTAAAGTGCTTGGTCCCCTGGGGCCTGTGAAGGGCAGCTGCTCCGTCACAGTCTTAGACAGTATGGGGCTTCTATCCAGGTTTAGATTTCTTGTTTCTGAAAAACCATGTTTATATGAGAAAACACATATGGGTCACTAACACTAACTATAGGCCTCAGGTAATGACATGAGGACATGGGCTTGACTGCCAGGGGAGGGTGGGTGGGGGCGTGCACGTGTGTCAGAGCGTGTCAAGGCCAGAGTCAACGTCGGGGATCTTCTTCTGCCTCTCAGGGTCGCTCAGTGACCCTGGAGCTCACCGACTGGCCAGACTGGCTGCCGAGCACAGGTCCCAGGGCTCCTCTTATCTCCGTTTTCTCCAGGGCTGAGGTTACAGGGGTTTGTCGCCAGGCCCGGCTTTATAAAGAAAGCGTCAGTGCAAGGGATCAAACTCAGGTCCCTGTGCTCGTATGGCAGGCTCTTCGCCCACCGAGCCCCCTCCTCGGCCCTCAGGTTTTCGTTTTCTTTTTTGGACAAGGTTTCTCTGTGTAGACCTGACTGTCCTGGAACTCACTCTCTAGACCAGGTTGGCCTCGAATTCAGAGATGTGCCTCCCTCTGCCTCCTGAGTGCTGGGATTAAAGGCATGAGCCATCATAGCACGGTCCTCATGTGTTTTTATAGCACGTGATCTTATTACATGAGCAGTGGAATTACCCACTCTTCAGAAAAGGAAACTAGGCCTAGAGGGGCCACCGGCCAGCGAGCAGTGGAGCTAAGACCGGATGGAACCTGAGCTCTGTCCTCCCTGAGTGTGCAGCATGGCTACACCACCCTGCCATTCTCTCTCTTTCTTTTCTTTTCTTTTTGTTCTAATTCATGAATAATTTACATTTTCTTTTGCAAAATATTTTATTATAGTTTTAGGCATCGCTGGTTAAATCCTGTTATGTAGATCTAGCAGTAAGTTCTGCAGACAATAACGCGGGTATACCCTGAGCAAAGGCAGGCAGGAGTGAGTCTGCGGTCTTGAACTGGCTCGGCGCAGTCAGTAGCTGCTCTCCGCCAGAGCAGAAGATCCGGTGTAAACCACCCAGTGAACAGATCCCTGGGAAGCCTGGGTCCAGCCCCTCCTCTCTCAGCATCAAGGAGAAAACAGGGCTATTCAAACCCTTCACAGTCTCCAGAACGTCAAACCAGTTATAATATGACTCTCCTTCCCAGCCTACGTCAGAAGTCAGGCCAGCAGGGTCCTCCCACGGTCCAGATGCACCCCAGTCTTCCTGAATGAACCCTGCTGCTGCACACTGTAAAGTCCTCTGCCAAAACCTGCGTCCTACCATCCCTCACATGGTACTGCTAGGCTGTGTGCAAAGTGGCTGGGGTCATTACACATCGTGTCGTACTACCATCCGCCAACACATTCGTCATCTCCCAGAACCCCACAAAGCAGGCAGGAAGACACTGAGTCAGGGAGCAGGCAGAAAGGCCCCCGCTGGTCCCTGGGAGTTGGGAGTGGGGCAAGAGTAACGTGTTTCTGAAAAACAATGGTTATGTGAGCAGGCTTCCTGTTGTGATGTCAACATGGCGACATTCAGGAAAAGGAGAGCTATGCAGACATTAAAAGATCAATGGTTGCCAGGGGCTGGAGGAGAGGAGATACAGACGGGGGAGCACAAGACAATACAATCCTCTCTATGACACTACAAGGTCATTATCGTTTGCCCAAACCCAGAGAACATGTAGCAGCAAGACAATGCCTTGTGCAAACTGTGGGCTTCTGGGTGATAAGGGTCCATTAGTGTAGGTCCATCCACTGTCTCATGGCTGATGCTGATGCTGGGGTGGTTGGGTCCTCATGGGACCAAGGACACACACACACACACACACACACACACACACACACACACGGGAGATCTCTGCAGTGAACCTAAAACTATCAAGCCAGGTGTCACGGTGTAAGTTCATCATCCCCGCACTCCAGAAATGGAGGAAGGAGGATCAGAAATCTATGCTAGCATGAGTGAGCTGTGTACTGAGTTTGAGGCTAACCTAGGCTACCTGATAATGACAATAATAGAAGATTGAGGCTAACCTAGGCTACCTGATAATGACAATAATAACCAAAACGAGCCGGCCACACACTGCATATGATAACGATTAATGCTGTTAATATATTAACATGCACATAAGTTACAGAAATGAATACTACAACAGGGAGGAATACACACACAAAAAAACATTATGTTCACATGTAGAGTAATAAAATGAATTCATGTGCAAAAGAGACCGTGCTGGGGTGGGTATTAAATTGGTAGTAGTTCAAAGATTATAAACTCTTAGCTAGGAGCAGAGAGGTGGCTCAGCAGGTAAGTATGAATCATGTTCCTGCAGCGGACCCAGGTTCAGTCCCAGCAGCCACATCAGGCAGCTCACAACTCCCTGACGCTCCAGCTTCAGTGACTTTCCAGCATCCTAGTCTGGACCCTGTGGGCACCTGTTCTCTCTCTCCATCCATCTGTCTATCTATCTGTCTGTCCGTCCGTCTGTGTAAATATACATATATAGTCTTAGCTATTCATATATTGGAAATCTAAGCCAGGAGGTGTGGCTTATACCTGGACTTCCAAACTTGAGAGGCAAAGGCAGGAGGATCAGGAGTTCAGGTCGTCCTTGGCTACAAAGGAAGTTGAGGTCCCAGTGGGCTACCTGAGACCCTGTCTCAAAAACAAATCAAACAGGCGTGTGTGTGTGTGTGTGTGTGTGTGTGTGTGTATACATGTATTCCAAGGCCCAGGGTTCTCAGGAACACTTTTTTTGGCACAGTTTAGAGGAACGCAGGACACTGGCCTAATTTTTCTGATTGGCTTAACATACCTGTGTGTTTTAACCTTTTTATTTCCTCTCTAGCAATTAGTTCAAGGAGAATAATCCACAAAACCACAAGCATGAGTAAATATGGAACAGCCTATTGGCAAAACTGACGAAACCCCACCAACTAGGAACAGAAGGGAGCTTCCTCAGGAGAGGAAGGACGCTGTGGAGACAACAGTTAACATTACACTCAGTGGAGAAGGACGGAACTGTTCCCCTTAGAAAGTGGAATTTAAGGCTGGTGAGACGGCGCAGTGGTTAAGAACACGTATTGCTCTTGCAGAGGACCAGAGTTCTGGTCCCCAGTCCCTACATGACAGCTCACAATCATCTGTAACTCCAGTTCTGGGGGACCCAACATCTTCTTCTGACCCCCTAGGACACTAGACATGCACACGACACATAGAGATACATGTTGGCAAAGCACTCATATGCACAAACTAAACAAGTATAAAAGTAAAACAATAAAAATGAAAACAAGCCAGGAGCTAGGTAGCGGTTCTGGCTTCCACGGGTATCCTGTGTCCTCCAGCGTCCACCTCCCCTCCCCACAAGACAGGAAGAGGGAGGGGGAGCCACAAAGACTGGTGTTGGGGGGGAAGAGCGCAATGGCCCGCGCTGGTAGAGGATGTGACTGTTTATATGACGCGTCTCCGGGGAATTGTAAAACAACTCTTAGAGCCAGCGAGTGCACTGAGTGCGTTTACAGGCTGGGTGGTTAATAGAGAAAACCGGGCTGCATCCTTGGGCCATCAAGGCATGACTGAAAAATGAAACAACACGTAACTTATACCAGAAATAAAGCCATGGCGGGGGAGATGGCGCAGTGGATAAAGCTTTGCTATGGAAGTTTTGCGACCAGAGCATGGACCCCCAGAACCCACATAAAACCCCCCATCATCCCAGTGCTCAGGAAGTGGAGAAGGGGTTCCTGGAGGCAGCTGGCTTGCTGGCTAACCAAGCAGACTCAGGGAGCACTGGGTTGGGTGAGAGACCCTGTCTCAGTAAATAAGGAGGACGGCCATCAAGGAAGACACCAGATGTCAATCTCCACGTGTGCCCTTACACGCCCACATGCACAACCCACATACGTGCACCCACATGCACAACCCACACGCACCCACATGCACAACCCACACGCGCCCACATGCACAACCCACACATGCCCACACACACAACCCACACGCGCCCACACGCACAACTCACATGCGCCCACACACACAACTCACATGCGCCCACACACACAACCCACACGCGCCCACATACACAACAAACACACATCCACAAAACGGCCCAGAGACCATTTGGGATCTGCTCTAACAGATCAGTTAGGACCGCCACTCTGAAAACCACACGGCTGCTGAGAGAAATCAAGGAAGTCAGTGAACGAAGACACACACACGTCCACACTTTCACCAAAGGTGCATGTCAACTAGGCGTCTCTATGAGAGAAATAAAAGTCAAATATTCATGCCACATCCCTACATTATTAACGCAAAATGGATTACAGACCATAACCTGAGAATCATAACCCTTCTAGAAAATTCCCCGACCACAGCCATCTTGAATGAGCCAATGAGATGGCCCAGTAGGTGGGGTTTCTTGCACCTGGCCTGATCACTTGAGTTTGATCCCCAGTACCACATGGCAGAGAGAACTGGCTCTGCAAGTTGTCCTCCGACCTCCACACGGGCACTGTGGCTTCTCTGTACAGTCCCAAGCAAACATACAAACACAAAATTAATAAATTTAAAAATACAATCATAATTTAAAAAAATCCCAAAACCCTGAGGCCTTGTATCAGCAATCTCAAAGACTTTCTATTATCTGAGACCTGGGCTCCCTAGGTAGAACCAACGCCCCACAAACCACAAAGGTAATAAAGCTTGACGCCCCCATTGAAGGAAAAAAGAAAGTCACAGCCTGAGAGAAGACTCCCACAAAACACAGTACCAGCCAGGTGTGGATGCACGGGTTTGTAGTCCCGATCGTAGGGAGGCTGAGATAGTAGGACTGCAGGTTCAAGAGCAGCCTGGGCCAACAGGACCCTGGCTTGCATGATCGGATACTGCGCTCCTAGGGGCTGACTGGAAATACACAGCCACACCCACATGGAGGGCAACAGTGCTCTGACTATGAGAACCAAGCACGGGAACACCCCGGTGAGAGGATTCACCGTGTGGAGAGGATTCACCGTGTGGTACATAGCACCACAGAAGGGTCGGTGATGAAGGCTGGGCCACTGATACACAGCCAGCACAACACACCAAGAAACTCTTCAGCCAAGCAAAAGAAGTCAGACCCAAAAAGAGTGCACATGTGTGTGATGCCATCTGCATACAAATGTACCCAAATAACTAACCCAAAGTGGGAGAAATGGCAGTGTATGTGTGCGCGTTGTGTGTGTGTGTGTGTGTGTGTGTGCGCGCGCACGCGCGTTACTGAGAATCGGACCCACATCCTTAGACAAGTATTCTGTGTCAGAGCTACACCCCAGTCCTCGTTCCATTCTTCCCTCTGAGACAGGCTCTTACTGAGTTTCCCCGGCTCTTTTGATGCTCTGTCTTCCTGAGTCAGCCTCCTGAGTAGCTAGGACCACAGGTCTCTTAGTACAGACCTGACTTCCAACTTTGTTATTGCTGTTGTGTGAAAATATCAAAGTTTCCTTGTAGTATGATGGCTGGCTTGTTGGGGTTTCTGTCCCGCCCAGTACCCCACAACCGGCAAGTAACAAAGAAAAATCACACACAGGACTCCATAAGGTTATAAACAGATTGCCCCATTAGGTCACGCTACTTATTAGCTCTTATAACTTATCCTAACCCATTATTCTGATCTATGTTAGCCATATGGCTTGGTACCTTCTTCAGCTGGGCCAGTTACATGCTGCCTCTTCGGTGGTCTGCGCAGGAGTGGCGGAGGGAGCTTCTGCTTCCAGAATACTCCCAGTCTCTTTGCACCACCCCTACTTCCTGTCTGGCTTTCCCGCCTATACTGCCTGCCTGGCCAAACAGCATTTTATTAAAATGATTGACAGAATACAGACAATTCTCCCACACCATTTCCTGTCATAACATTATTTAGATTCGTTTATTTTACTTTATGTGTAGGATTATTTGCCTGTATGTATACCTGCATACCACATGCATGTCTGGTACCCGAAGAGGTCAAAAGAGGGCATTGGATCTCCAAGAACTGGAATTACTGCCAGTTGTGAGCTGCCATGTGGGTGCTGGGAATTGAACCCAGGTCCTCTAGAAGAGCAACCAGTGCTCTTAACCACTGAGCCATCTCTCCAGTTCCCTCCATAAGTATTTTTAGAGCAGTGTTCAGTGGTGCTAAATTAACCACAGGACTCTGCGTCACCACCTGCCTCTCCCAGAACAGTCGGTGTGTAAGACAGAGGTGCTAGGACATCTGTGAAGTGATGGCCCACTTCCCTGCCTTCTGGGTCTCCGGCAACCTCGTCCTTCTGCCGCAGGAGTGTTTCACCGCGCACAGAGATGTCAAGGCTGATCCGCCACGCAGCGTGCGTCCGACCACACACCCCTCCAAGGCTGAGTGACGCCGCGAGGTGAGGACAGACCACACTTGCGCGTGTATCTGTCTGCTCTGTCCTCAAGGGCTCTCTGAACACGAGCAACTCCTCGGGTCGCTGCTGTCTAGCCTTTCAGGCACATGCCCTGAAGAGGGATTGCTGCATCTTTCTGTTTTTAGATTTTTCTGAGGAAGTACCACCCGTCCCCGTTTCCCACAGCGGTGGGTCCACTCCGCACCCCACCCACAGGGCACACAGGTTCTGCTTTCTCTGCACTCACCAACGCTCCTGATGGCCTCTGTTTTCACATTTAAACCAACAGCCTTGCAGCATGGGATGCTCTCCCTGCAGCTTTGGCTCGCTCTCCTCAGTGGCTCCTGCACCCCTGCTCGGTGGTTCCTGCACCCCTGCTCAGTGGTTGTTGCACCCCTGCTTGGTAGCTCCTGCACCCCAGCTCAGTGACTGCGAGGATCTTTAGGGGAAAGTCTCATTTTTGGTCTTTAGAGAGTCTGCATTTCCTGGATATTAGTCTCTTATGAGGTAATGTGATTTCTGAGGGTTTTGCTATTGTTTTGCTTTTGTTTTTGTTTTATACTCACTCCGTGGGTTGCATTTTTACTTCGTGCTTGACGTACAAACTTTATAAAAACAAACAAACAAAAACCTTGGAATTCTGGTTTGCCTGTTTTTCCTTTGGTTGCTGTGTCTCTGGGCCAGTCTGCATCGCTGTTGCCAAGTCGCAGGTGGGTCCCACGGCACAGGAACTGGGAGGAGTAAACAGGATGTGCTCTTATCTGGGATGCGGTGAGGCTGTAGGGTCATGCACCATAGATAAAAACCTGCCAAACTGCACACTTCAAAATGCAAGGGTTACTGAACGGCAATTACAGCCCAATGGAGCCTTCTGGAAAGATTTATTTTATTTATTTTTTATAATTCTATTTATTTTTTGATTTTCACTTTATGTGCAGAAGTGTTTTGCCTGCACGTGTGTCTGTGCACCATGTCCTCAGAAGCCGGAAGAAGGTATTAGAACCCCTGGAACTAGAGTTACAGACAGCTGCTGAGTTTCCATGTAGGTGCTGGGAACCAAACTTGGATCTTAACCGCTAAGTCATCTCCCCAGCCTGATTTACTTTATTTTCAAGTAGACACGTGAGTGTGTGCAAGCGTGTGCGTGCATGTGCGTGTGTGAGTGTGCGTATACGTGCGTGCATGTGTGTGTGTGCGTGTGGTGCCCACATGGATGCAGGTGCTCACAGAGGTCAGAGAGAGCGGCAGTAACCCTGGAGTTACAGGCAGTTGTTAGCTGTCTGACATGGGTGCTGGTAAGTACACCTGTGTCCTTTGTAAGCGTAGTAACTGCTCTCAACCCTCTGAGCTACCTCTCCAGCCCCCAAAGGAGGTTTCCAAATGTCCACCAATATCAGCCTCGCGTCACTACCGAAATTCTAAACATGAGGAATTATTTTCATAAAACACGGCCAGGTCATACGGTACCACACCACTAAGCTGCTATCAAGAGTTTCACAAAAAAAATCTTGAATAACCAGGGGAAATTTTCGTAGTATACATCAAATGAGGAACAGGAGATTTATCGCTGTCAACATGGCTTCATCTGTAATATGACCTTACAGATTTATCTCCATACATGTGCTATGACTGTTACAATAATGGATGTCTCTAGACGGCACAATTAGAGTTTGCGCTCATCCCCTTTATTTGTTCAGGCTTCCTAATGGGAATAGTGTATCGCGTTGATTGCCAGAAACTCTAAGCTAATCTGCTATATTCTCATCCTTGTTGTTTGTTTTACATGAAGTCCAAATTTCCATTTATATTAGAAAACAAAGTGATAATTTAGAAAAGAAGGAAAGGGAACCAGGCCTGCAATCCCACCTCCAGGGGAGACGGAGGTAAAGGATCAGGAGTTCAAGGTCATTCTCAGCCTGGGCTGCTATAGGAGACCTTGTCTCCAACGCAGGAGGCAAAGAAGCGGGAGGCCTGTAAAGACACTAAGCCAAGGCTGCAGGTCTCCAGTCCCCTGAGGGTAAGACCTTCTGACCCCATCCCAAATGACTTTGCTAACACTGCTCATGAACTGAAGACATCAAGAATGCCCCCGCCATGTCACACACGGCAAAGAGCAGCACTGGGGAGGTGGCCATGTGGTTCAGGAAACTGGTCTTCCCAAGTCGAGAACCCACGCAGGAGAGGAGCCAACCCTGTCCGAATAACACAACTGCAGCAAGACTCCAGAGAGCATTTCACACCTCCCTGGTCACCAGGCACCCCGTCCTTCCCACTCCTTATCCCCCCGCCTAGCACCCACAGGCTCCTCAGCCCGGGCTCTTCTTCCTCTTGTTTTCTAGGGCTGTGGTTAGAAATGGCCAGAGCCAGCCGGAAACCACAAGAGAGAATCTTCACGATTCTGGAGACCAGGGAGGGGAGATCAAGGTGTCAGCAGGGCCACACACAGTTTATAAAAATCTGGGGAAGGTGCCCCTCCGAGTGACGGAGATGCCCAGACTCCACCCAGAGACAATGCAATCTCGTAACAAACCTCACTGCCTTTGCGCAGGCATCGACCGGTCGACAGTAAAAGGTACGCGGAAACACAACGGATTTGGAGAATCCAGGACCAGAGGAAACAGGCAAGCCAAACCTTTCTAAACCCAAGAATGTGATGGTGCTGTCCCAGGGTACAGAAAGACGTGAACAAATGAAGCAGACCCAAGAGTCCGATGTGAGCCCTGGTGAGTCCATGGGCTCTGAGAACATCCCAATAATCCAATATGGGGATCATCGAGCTTCAACACACAACGCTGGGATAGCCAGATGCCCACAGACAAGACAAAGAAGCTAGATCATTTCTCACAGAACTTACCAAGATTAGCTCAAAGGCTGGGGGACCGACAGCGTGGTGGGTAAGCAAGCACAAAGACTTGCATTTGAAACCCTAGCAGCCACGTTAAAAAAAAAAAAAGGCAGACATGGTATGATTCTATTATATGAAACATCCAGATTAGCAAATCGAAAGAGAGAAAACAGACCCGAGGTTGCTGTGGCCCAGGCGGCCAATGGATATGGCTAGCTGGCATGGGGTTTCTCTTCGGGGAGGTGTGAAGTTTTGGAATCAGACACAGCCACACAGTTGCAGGCATGGACCGCGTACCATGGAAGTATTCTCACGCTGCATGGATTATCTCCCACGGAGGTCCACTGGCCCCATCTCCCAGGTTACCTGAACTAAGCTAACCTCAGGAAATGCTTTTTCTATTCTGCAGAGCCTTCTGACTATCCCCCCGACCTCAGGACAACGGGCATGGTGCCCATATGTGCTTTCTGCTGATAGAGACGAGGCAGCCACACTGAACCAGCACTGTGTGGGTTGATAGCCAGGGCAGGAGGCAGAGGGGATCAGCCACTGGGGAGAAGAGGTCCTGGGGTGGAGAGCTGAGAGTCCCTGGGATTAATATATGAGATCATCAAGGCATAAGGAAAGGCAACAGTCCCTTGAATCTGCCCTAATGTGAGACACGGCCCGGGGAGGACCAGAAACTTGGCTTGCTGATGAGTTACTGAGTTCGGCTCCCCTCCTGGTGTCCTGTGGAAACGACTCCAAACTGCAAGTAATTTTACATTAAATTACCCCTCTGTACCTGATGGTTGGAAAGAATAAATAAATTGTGTGTGTGTGTGTGTGTGTGTGTGTGTGTGTGTGTGTGTGCTGAAAATTCACAAAACAGGGCCAGGGAGAGGACTCAGTGGGTAAAGACGGTCCGTGCAAGTATAAGACCTGAGCTTCAATTCTATGGCTCCTAGGATGAGACCAGAGGCAGGTAAGAGACCCCTGTAAGTTTGTGGGTCGGCTAGCCTGGCGTATCATCTGAAAGTCATGGGTTGGCTCGCCTGGTGTACCATCTGGGAGTCATGGGTCGGCTAGCCTGGTGTATCATCTGGAAGCTCATGGGTCAGCTAGCCTGTTGCATCTGGAAGCCATGGATCAGCTAGCCTGGTGTATCTGGAAGCTCATGGGTTGGCTAGCCTGGTGTATCATCTGGAAGCTCATGGGTTGGCTAGCCTGGGTGAATGCAGTGAGGAATCACAGAGACCCTGGCTCAAACGAGGTGAAAGGCACAGAGTGACCCCTAACATCGTCCTCTGACCTCCATGCATGTCCCATGTCATGTAAGCACCTGCACTTACACATACAAACACACATAAACACAGACAACAACTTCACAAAACACTGAGAAGCAGATTCACAGCCTGGCTCAGGCCACCCGAAGGTCCCTTGTCAGCTTTCGGGTGACTATTCCCCTAAAGGCCATCTTTATTTCTACAACTATACACAACTGATGGCTCTTCCCACATAATCTGCAGGCACCATTTCATGATCTGACTGGCCTCTGTGTTTGTCCGTTCTGCACCCTGGGAGTCTACCAACTATAGGTTGAAAATATTTGGAAAGGGGCTGGAGTGTAGCTCAGGGGCAGAAAATTTGCCTAGCAGCTCCGAGGCCCTGGTCCCCAGCCCCTCTCCCAAGACACTAAGAAAATACTTTGTTTAAAAAAAAAATCACAAGTCCTCTGAACATATACTGATTCTTTTTTTTTTTTTTTTGGTCACTACCAGTAAACAGCACACACAGCAGCTACCCCCATAGCATCTACACGTATGAGAGTCTATGAGTCCTATGTGGGTTTTGTGCAAACAACGCGCTATTGTATATAAAGCTTCAGGCATCTGCAGATTTGGGGATCCCTGCCTGGGGGTCCTGGCCTCCATCCTCTGTGACACTGAAGGATGACTAGTGACATAGAAGCTACTTTATATTACACTGTCTGGAACCATCCAGTGAGCCAATCACCTCCTGGCATGGGTCAGTGCCACAAAGGAAGGCGTGAGGACAGGCACAGCCAGGAAACAAGATTACCAGAAGCTGCCTAGAGAATCAGGTAGTACTGGGTAGAGTCCGGTGGAGCATCTGATGGACAGGGGTGGTGGGTTTTATCCTGGAGGTAGGGATATGGGAGCAGCCTTGGCAACTCTGAGGAGTGTGGAGGGTAAGGCATACTGGGGGAGACGCTGGGCTCAGTGAGTGCCCTGAAGAAGGGCCCAGGTGAGGCTCTGTGGGATGGGTGTGTGGGCATGAATGTGTATGTAGTGTCTGTGGGTATGTAGTATGTGTGTGTGTGTGAACACAATGTATGTAATGTTTGTTCATTGTGTAGTATGTGTCTATGTAGTTTCTGTGTAGTGTATTGTGTAGCATGTATTTGGGTAGTGTGTAAGTATGTGGAGTGTGTGTGTGTGTGTGGAGTGTGTATGTGTGTGGAATGTATGTATATGTGTATATAGTGTACACACATATATATGTGTGTAGTGTCTGTGTATGGTGTTTAGTGTATGGAATGTATATGTGTGTGGAATGTTGTGTAGATGTATGTATGATGTATGGAGTGTGTATGTGTATGTGGTATGGGGGGAGAGTACCTGTGTGTGCGGTGTGTGTGTTAAGTGTACATGGATGAGCAAGCACGTGGAGACCGGAGGCAGACATCAGCAGGAAGCCCTCCAGGACCACTCTCCATCTTACGATTTTGAGACAGTCTCACACTGAACCTCCAGCTTACCAACTGGCTAGACTAGCCACTGACCAGGGAACTCCCATCTCTGCCCCCTCGGGGCTGGGGGGACAGATAACCATGGCTATACCCGGTTCAAACTTAGGTCCCCTTGCCCGCAAAGCAAGCTCTTAACTGATAAGCTCTGAAAAGTGTCACCCACGGCCAGCAGATGTGCCCAAGCATGTGGCCACCAATTGCCAGAAACCGAGCATAGACAAGTGTCCAGGATGGAGAGGAAATGGACAGAATACAGTGTGTGGGGCTGGGAGGTGGGTACCGGTCTCCAAGCCTATAGAATTTGATGCCTGGGACCTGCAAAATGAAAAGAGAGAGACCCCACCTCTGCTAGTCGTCCTCGGACCTCCACAAGCAAAGCACACACTGAATATAAACAACCAACCGGAGAACAGTGTGTGACATCAACTCCGGGATTTACAATCACCATGGAAACACTGTGGGGTGTACCTACATGGGTATTTTCAGAGAGGTTTAAGCAAAGAAGGAAGACTCACCCTGAATGTGGGCAGCTCCACCCCACAGGCTAGAGTCAAAGAATGAGGAGGAGGAGAAAAGAAGCCCAGCACCAGAGCTGTGACCTGCACGGCTTTGGGACTGACCTGACTAGGGCGACGGGAATGAAAATGACAGTCACAGATAGAGTCGTGCTGGGATCAAGTGGGCTGTGCCCTCTGATGGAGACTCAGCAACGGCAGCTGGGAAACCTCAGCAGGACAGGTTAGAGGAGCAGCCTCAGGCTGCAGTCATCCAGGGGAAATCTGTGGTTGATACTTTGTGTCCACACTATCAACATCCCAATTTGGGCGGAGAAATCTGTGGTTGATACATTCTGTCCACATTGTCAACCTCCCAACCTGAGCCAGAGGAAAGCGCTGCTGTTCCGCTGAGCCTGAATCAGGGAAGCCTTGTCATCCCCATGGTTCTGAGGCTCTAGGGTCCTTCACATGGCCATGCTTTTGTCAATAATACACATTCATACAAAACTTCCCCTGCTCCCCACACGCCAGCATTCGTCTGTTTCCTGACTGTAGACATCACGTGACCAGCAGTCCCCACTGCTACGCCTTCCCAATTCCCTACTGGAATGGACCGTCCCTTCAAACCGGGAATCCAAACAAACCTTTTCTCCTACAAGTTTCTTTGGTCTGATATTTTGTCACAGCCATGGGGAAGTAATTACTATAGCATACCTATATAAATATTATTTAGCCCAAAAGAGAGGAAGCTTTGACCACGCACATGGAAGTAGCTAATGCATAGTTCATTGTGGTTAAAAAAGGGAGTGCTTGCTGGGTGGTAGCAGCACAAGCCTTTAATCCCAGCACTCGGGAGGCAGAGGCAGGGGGATCTCTGTGAGTTCAAGGCCAGTGTGGTCTACAGAGCTAGTTCCATGACAGTCTCCAAAGATACACATTGAAACTCTGTCTCAAAACATCAAGAAAAAAAAAGGAGGGGATGCTTTAGAGATTCCATTTTCTCTGCCCCAAAGTACTTCCCCTCATCTTCCCTCCACACCCGTCTGGTTATGATCAGGCATGACACACATGAGCAGCAGGCATGATCAACGCAGAGGGGCACACACTGCCGCTTGGAGTGGCTGGAAGGGGACCATGGGTTCGTGCGGGTGGTGGGAGGAAGGCTGTCCACCTTCTCCTCAATGGGTCTTCGAAGCTGTCTTCCTATCTAATCCTCATTTCAGCCTGGCGGGGCGAGGGGAACCTGCGCAATTCGGAGCACCTCCCACGGGACCCACATTTTGGAAAAGGGACACTTAAGGGAGAAGCTGGTCTGCTCAGCTTCTCTGACACTGTGCGCTCCCAACAGGCAGCAGGAGAGAAGAAGAGCTACAGGTTGGATTACTCAGAAGTTTCCGAACACCCAGATAAAACAACTCCACCAGGAACCTGAGCTCCTGGTGACTGCACTCTGGGGCCACAGGTATTTCTGCCAAGCCAGGTCCTCTCTGTAAGCCTTGCCTTCCAAATGGCCTATGAAAGGGGCACCTGACCCACCCAGGTGCTCTTGGGCGAGACAAAAGGATTGCTTAAAGGAGTGAGAGTGGAGACAACTGGAATGTTCTCTGAAGTTCCAGCCTCTGATTTCAAAGGATCCATGAATGACAATGATGGGGAGGGGAGGGGACGGGAGAGAGTGAGAGGGGGGGCGAGTTCAGCCGGAAGTATAGAAGACAAAGGGCTCTTTTTAGCCTGATCTGTAACCAGCTGTTCTTGGCATAAGGTCTCCAATGTCCCTAAACCTGTCCCCAGGAACCCAGCAGCTGTCACTGCAACGCTGAGGCTGAGAACGTTCCCAGATACACAGTTCCCAGCTACACCCAAGTCTACTGTCTCTGGTGACCACGGGTTCACCATGGAACTGCTAGGGGCTAAGAGGAGACAAGGTGCACTTCTGGGATTCAGAGTGGTAGCAGCTTCCTGGCTCCCAGAGAGGCCTCCCTACAACTCTTCCCACAGTGATGGGCAGCCCAAAGCATGGAGCACTAGTGTGCACTGACCTCACATGACCAACTGATCCACCATGGCCAGCTATCAGGGTTGCCCTCACTATCTGTACACTGGGGTGAGAGCAATGATGGAGGACTCCTGGAAGAGAGCTTTCCCAGGCTTATTCTGCCCCTCCTACATCTACATCAGGACACTCGTCCTCAGATGGGGAAAATGAGGCCCCAGCTGCCACACTAAGCTAACTCTGATGTGTCCTTTGGTGTTTTTGGCTCTGGGCATGAAACCAATGAAAATGTGAGAGGAAGGGTTGGGAAGACAAAAGGGGGCAGCGTTTCTCTGTGTATCCCTGGCCATCCTGGAACTCACTTTGTAGATCAGGCTGTCCTTGAACTCACAGAGATCCGCCTCCCTCTGCCTCCCGAGTGCACCCCTCTGCCTCTGCCTCCCAAGATTAAAGGCGTGCACCACCACCGTCTGGCTGATAGATTCACCTGCTGGAACATTCTGCCTCGACCTAGATCAGCTCACTGCTTCCCCAACATGCAGAGCCTGGCCACACTGAGTCCCACACTGCAAGTTTCTCTGGAATCTCACCTGCACTTTGACCCCCCCAGGACCTCCCCCTTTACCGGGTGAAGGCACCGAGCCCCATGGCCCTGGGAGACAGTCCCCAGTGTGGTCCTTGTGCAGGCCTCAACCAGAAGAGAGTGAGGTAAACGAAGTCGCTGGAGTCCACCCCGGGGTCCCCAGGTCCCATAGAAAGGAGTCTTAGTCTAACTTTGATGTCATTCCTGGTATTTCTGCCATCTACCGAGGGGTCCTGCTCCCCCAGGCCAGGATGACACCTTCAATATCGTATACACTTGGCTCCAACCGCCTGGCTTAAGGGACCATGGTGAGAAAGGTTATTTCTGGGTGACACAGGGACGGGGAGGTGAGTTTTGACAGCTCTATGGTTCTGGTGTGGCTCTAGGCTCTCAACAGTTTTCAAAATGCACACAAAGCTAAGCTAAGCATTCCAAGCAAAACTGAAGACTGTCAGCTGTAATTAACATCACACACACACACACACACACACACACACACAGAGAGAGAGAGAGAGAGAGAGAGAGAGAGAGAGAGAGCGGTGGATCAATCCATTCACCAGGCTGAGCCCAGCAGCTTTCTGCTGACCAGTGCCTCGCTCGCTCTGGCGGCTGCTGAGCGCTCACTCAGCCTGCCGTACCCAGGAGGACAATCAATGCAGTTCCCAGGACAGCAGGTCAGAGCAATAAACCTCCGCTGACATGGTGGGGTTTGCATGCTTTCCAGGGCCTCCATGCTAGAAAGTCCCGAGGGAACCTTGTGCCGCTTGGCTTGCGATGTCATTTCTGACGAGCGGGGATGGGAGCACCCTGCAAGAAGCCAGCCTGATGCTGCCACGGTCCAGCCTGGAGAGCCACCTGGCTATCTCAGGCAGGAGAGCTGCAGGAAGGGAGGGATGAGTCGGAATAAATCACGGCTCTTTACAGGATGTCGCACTCTGGGAACGAAGCTGCCGCAGCCAGCAGAACCACATCCCAGCTCCAGCGATTAACGTGACACCACGTGGGCACGCGCAGGGCTAATTATGAGAGGTGTAAATCAGAGAGAGAGGGAGACAGGCACATCACTCAGGTTTATTACCCACACCGTTTAGGAAAAGATAACCAGGCTGGCCTGCCTTCCCCTTGCCAGCCCAGCTGTAGGGTGGGTGAGTGGATGGTGGGGAGGGCTGTGCCTTCATCTGCACTGGAGGAGAGAAAAAAACGCCAGCCTCTGGGGTACCATTTTTATTTAAATCTTTCCTTAGTCCAATTGAGTGACCACTCCCATTTCCCAGGAAAATGAAGAAACACGTCGCTCAACACACCCAGTGTGCTACTGGTTTCGTGTGTCACGCGTGTGTCACTGCAGGCCCCGTCACCCACACGGGATGCTGTCGCTGCTATTAACTGGCATCCTTCATCATCGGCTGGAGACCAGCATGGCAGGAATCATTTGCTTTTCCTTTTCCCTTAAGGCATTTGCAAATATGCTCGGAGGCTAAGAGACGCCAGGGCGTCTAATAAATAAAGCAAAATAATTAATAGCCCGCTTGGTCTGGAGACTGTCCCCACAGCTCCTTTGCTGGGTGGTTGAGTTCCCATCTTGTCATTGGAATATGCTAAGTTACTACATGGCAGCATCATGCTGAGCTTTAAAAAAATCAGGCTATTGAGATGGTGAGGAGAGATGCTTACCGCCAAGACTGAAGGCTCGGGTTCAATCCCTAGAACCCGCAAGTCGAAGGTGAGAGCCGACTCCCTAAATCTGTCTTCTGAGCTCTGTGTGCCTGTGGCCTGCACACTCCCTGCCCCTACCCCCACACAAAATAAACTAGTTTTCAAAAGAGCAAAAAGTCAAATTGAACAGCTCCAATTTTACAGACATTACCACGGACAAGCATTTATCCCTGAACCGATACGTGCTTGGGGGCTCTGTGTGCACAGCCTAGGTGGTCACAGCAACATGGAGGACATTTTGTATGACGTAGGAAAAAATGAGGAACGGAATACATTTTATTGTGGCGATATTTTGGTTTTGCTGTAACAAAGTTTGCCTGAAGATCAGAGTGTGGAGTTGGCCACATTAGTCAGCCATAGAGGTCAGGTAGTGGTGGCGCACATCTTTAATCCTAGCACTGGGAGACAGAGGCAGGCGGATCTCTGTAAGATCAAGGCCACCCTGGGTTACACAAGATTGGATCATTCTAAAAGAGAAATAGAGTCAAGTGGCTGGGCTCACACCTTTAATCTCAGCACTAGGGAGGAGGAGACAGAAAGTGATATGGCTGGGCAGAGAGAAGAGGGAGGAATATAAGGTGGGAGGAGACAGGAGCTCAGGATTCAGCCTGAGGACCTGTAGAGACAGGAGACCCCACTTGGTCTGAGGACTCGGTAGAGGTGAGAACCAGTGGCTGCAGCTCTGCGTCTCTGATCTTTCAGCGTTCACCCCCTCCTATCTGACTCTGGGGTCTTCATTATTATTACTATTAAACACCAATTAGAAATTGTGCCACAGTTTACTGTGAGTCAGTCCTTGGGTAAGGCGGACTGATGAAGCCACCTGGAGACGCTTGGTGCTGGCCAGCCAGAGAAGGCCGCACAAGAGGATGCTGGAGCTTCGAGCTTATGGCATCCCCAGGGTCACTATCACAAGACCTTCCGAAATGAAGCCACACACCCGTCAAGGCCTGGGTGTCATACTGTCACATGCCAGGAGGACAGGGTAGGAAGAAAGGGCTGGAGAGAGGATGCCGAGGTCACAAACAGGTCAATGTGTGGTGTCCTGAGGTTTCTGCAGGTCCAAAAACTCAGTCCCTGTCCAGAAGCTCTGGGCCCACAGGGGTGTCGTTCAACAGCATCAGGGAGAGCAGGCCCCGGAGGACCTGTTAGCCCCACATAGTCTCACTCAGAGCAGGAGAGAACCCTAGTGTCTCTTCACACCCAGGAAGGGGCCCACCATGGCTGCTACACCCACCAGCGGTGAAGCCCACAGAGCCTCCAGGCTGACAGGGCCACACAGGTCACTGTGTTCGGCATATCGGTCCTGAAGGGGGCTCCTGTGTCTCCCCAGACCAGGCCATGGAGCTGAGCTCCCCATGTCAGTGACTCCGGCCTTGAGGCTTCTTGGAACCTCTACAGCCTCCCCGTGGGTCCCACTGCTTCATGGAAATGGCTAATCACCACCCAGGCTGGTGGTTTCCCAACATTTTTGTGACGTTCCCCTAGGCAATTTAAAAATGGAATGAGCGCTAATAATAATTTGACTAAATTTAGGTGCTCCCCTTAGGCACTGATTAAATTTCATGAACTCTTTTTCAGGTGTTCAGCCCAATTTCCTCCCTCTCCCCCTCTGTTCCACAGGCAGACCGGGGACTTACTGACCATCCTGCAGGGTGAATGAGTGAATTCCATCTAGTGGTCAGAGTCCTCCTTCCCAGGCGGCAACGCAGTACGAGGGGCTCAGAGTGTAGGATGCGCGGTTGAGGGCCGGGCAGCCATGGTTTGTTCAGATGAAGGATTTGAAGATTACCAGGGTGATCTGTTGGTGTCCATGGGAGGGAAGGAAGCAGCTGGGACTCTCTTGGAGGGAGGAAGAGGGAGCAGAAGCCAGAACCTCCTGGATTCTGGACACCAGGACTTTGGGACACTCCTTAGCCTGTCTACATCCACAGGATCCACCACCAGGGGATTCCAAAGCCAGGACATGGAGGCCTCACGAGCTTGTCTCAACATATCTTGACTCCCCAGTGACACACCTGCCCCTCCCCAACTGGGACCCTGAGAGTTGACCTTGAGTATACCTAGGGATGATCTGAACTTCAGGGGCCAAGACAGGAATGACAGGACCCAAGGAGGCCAAGGCGGCTGCGGTCTGCCACATCCAGTCCTGAAGTGCCAGCAGCCCCTAGAGTCCCCTGTTTTCCCAATGGGTCACCAGCTGCTCATTTACGTCCCTTCTTCCCTCCCTCCCTCCACCCACGCCTTTCTTATACAGTGCTGGGGACGGAGCCAGCCGTCTTGGGGCACCTGTGCTAAAACACCATGATCAAAGCCTCTTATAAAAGGAAGCATTCAAGTGGGCTCACTATTTTAGACGGTCAGAGTCCGTGGTGGCAGAGCAAAATCATGGCAGCAAGAACCAAGAGTTCAAAATCTGATCCGCAAGCAGGAGGCAGAGAGCATGCTGGGACTGGCGCCAGGCTTGAAACCTCAAGACCCACCCCAGCGACTCCTCCGCCAACAAGGCCGCATCTCCTAATCTTTCTCAAACAGTTCCACCAACTGGGGACCAAGCATCCAAACACATGAGCCTGTGTGGGCCATTCTCATCCAAACCAGCACACCAGCCAAGGGCTCTGCCACTGAGCCACCCCCCCAATACTGCTCCCTACACCGCCTTCTAAAAGCTCTGTTTATTTTTAGTTTGAGATGGCGGTGTCTCGGTAAGTCTTCTGGGCTAGCCTCAAACTCCCCTTGTAGCCCAAGATTCAAACTCGCGATCCTTCTGCTCTTCCTCCTGAGCGGCTGAGATTAAGCGCGTGCCACTGCGCTGGATCACGCTCCTTTCCATTCCACTCACGCACTTGACTGGGCAAGCGGAATCTTTCACAGACCACCTATGTGCGAAGGGCATAAGAATGACCCCACCCAGGAGCCTTGCTTCCCCCTCCTGTACCCAGTGTTCCCTGGGTTGGTTCAGGACCGACACCATCGCCAGGCACCGAGACTCTGCTTGGCTTGGCGCAGAGCGTTCAGGAACAACCAAGACAGGGACCACGGCAAGTAGAGCATTCTTAGCGAAAGACAACTGGGCAACAGTCGGGGTAGTGCCCAGCAGGCTGGCTCCGGGGCAGGCTGGCTGTTTCAGCTCAGAGTGTCTCTGCAATGTGCCCAGAGAAGCAGTTCTGTGCCAGGAAGGCCCCGGGAACCAGGGACAAGGTTACCTCCTGTCCCCAAGCCCATGTCCCTAAAGAAGGCGGCAATGGAGAAAGAAGTGGGAATACATTCAGAACTGTCGGTTGTAAAGAAATGCAAAGGAGGACGGTACCACCCCTCACTGCAGCATCAGACAGACAGCAGTGAGTTAGAGGACAGGCTGACATATACCATGAAATTCTGCTTCAAAAGCAGATAAAACAAAAAAGAAGCACAGGTAACTTTTCAACCACTATCTGAGCAATGATGAGCAGAAGCCAGTACTAGGGACCTACCACAAGATGGGGGGGGGTGGCGCGTTCCTAGCCCTGGAAAACATGAAGCAACCACTCCTCCATGGGTCACGGCTGCTCGGCTGTCATGGGGTCAATGTGTTCACATCACTGAGACAGAGAATTCAGAGTGTGTGGCTCACTGACTCCTTCCTGTTTATCCCCCCTGACTTGGCCCCACCCTTCTACTATCTCCAGCAGCAGCAGGGCACATGGCTTTGCAGGACACGCAAGCCCAGTATACACACGTGAATGCGCAAACACACGTTAGAGAAAAAAACAACAGGACAGCATCTCCCGGCGTCACCGTGGGATTGTTTCAGTCGGCATAACTAGGACGGGGTCCCATCAGCATCTCGGGATGCTGGTTTAAAACCTTCATAACAGACAACCCCTCCCCCCCCACACACACACACCAGGCACTGTTTCCCTATATACAGTTACCCTGGCGTGTGATCATGACCGTATATATACTTAAAGCTTTGGGTGTGTGGGGGGGGGGCGGTATGTGTGGCTATGCCCTATCTTTGCACACGTCTGCACTTCTCCGCAGTGAGGGCTCACACTGCTCACAGTTACCTGGCAACTGTCTCAGACTAGGCTGGAAGTGCCCTGCCCTGGCCTGTGTCTCTGGAAACCACTAGAGGAAGAATCTTACCTGTGGGCAAGCTTCAACACAAACGTGGCTGTCGGAGACAAGCAAAGAACAGGAAGCAACCGGATGCCCACAGAAAGGGTGTGGTCAAGGCAGAACACCACACAGGGAGCCGCTATGTAGACGTGAAAACTGATAGCCAGGGAGAAGACCAATGGCATGGGAGAATTCCCGACAGAGCATGACCAGAACACCGCAGGGTAGAGCCCCGCGGTCCCAGGGGAGTGGTAGGATCACCATGAAAGACAGTGGGTACGCTCATGGCGTTCTGGTGGTGTGGGATCCCGGGGTCATGTTTCCAGGCACAGCCCCTTAGAAGGACTGGAAGGACTGCTCAGGTCCTCCTGCACCACATACCTGTGCAGGAATTATCACAGTGGAAACAGAGACAGAGAGAGAGACAGACAGACAGACAGACAGACAGAGACTGGGGCTAGGGAGATGGCTCAGTTAGCAAAGTCCCCATACAAGCATGACCTGCACTCTGGTCCCCATGTAAAATGACACGTAGCATGAAGACACACAGGAGGGTCCCTGGAGCTTATTAGTCAGCCTAGCTGAATTTGTGAGCTCCCTGGCTTACTTAAAAATTAAGATGGAGGCACAGGAAGACAGCTGACTCAGTAAAACAACTGCTGGGAATTCAGCAGAACTGGAGTTTGGAGCCTTAGACTCCAGGTAAATGGGGCACTGCATCCCCAGCCTCGGTGGGCATGGGGGCAGATGGGTCCCTGAAGCACACGGGTCAGCCAGCCTAGACAAACTGCTGAGCTTTGGGTTCAGTGAGAGACCCTGTCTCACTGTGTGAGGAGCAACAGAGGAAGGCGCCTGACACAGATCTCTGGCCTCACTTTCACGTGTGTATGCGCATCTGTGCACACACAAATGCATGTACATATATACTCATACACTACACACACCACATATATACACACCTATACACATTGCATGCATTTACAGATACATACATACACATACCACACACATATGCCAAAGCCATCAACCCGTAACATCAACAGGAAGATAAACCAATAAGTCAAAGGTGTGCCAATGGGGCTGGAGAGATGGCTCAGAGGTTTAAGAGCATTGTCTGCTCTTCCAAAGGTCCTGAGTTCAATTCCTAGCAACCACATGGTGGCTCACAACCATCTGTAATGGGGTCTGGTGCCCTCTTCTGGCCTGTAGGCATACACACAGACAGAATAATATAAATATAAAGATGTGCCAATGTCCTATCAGTACAGGCTGGCCCTGAACTTCTGGTTCTCCTGTGTACTGGGGTTGATGATACACAGCACCATACCTGGTCTGCTTTTTGTGGTGTCGGGGGTGGAACCCAGGGTTTCATCCTTGGCAGGCAAGCACTCTATTCGCTGAGAGATACCACCAGCCCAATAACCTGATTTTCACAGAAAATAAAATGAGGCTCAATAGCCCAATACCACCCATCCTGGCTGCCTCTAGAACTTCAAATTTTTCTGTCTTCAGATGCTGAACAAATCTTTGTGGCCATGATGTGGTGTTTCACCTCAGGCCACCTTACCAAAGGCCCACAGTCAGCAAGATCACAGAAGGGTGCCTCTGCCGATCTAGGAAGGCCCTTCCTGCCATCTCGGCTCCATGATGCTCACAGGCAATACCCCTAGTGCTCCTTAATTTACAGGGGCAGGGTTCCCGATTCAACTGTCTCCCTAGGTCTGCATGTTTGTATTCTGTGAGGACAAGCTCTGGGCTCAGGTCCACCTCTGTCCAGGATGACCTCACCTTCCTCTTTCTTTGATCCTATCAGCAAGGATCCGATTTCAAAAGACAGTCACAGTCAGAGGTTCTGGGCGGCTGCGCATTTAGAAGGGATACTATCCCAGCCACTAGACACGGGAAGTGAAGACATATTTGATGTCTCCACCTCGGTTCCAGGAAGTGATGGGGACAGCTCCTGGTGGCGTAGGTCAGTCTGTCTCTTGTGCCAGATAGGTATCTCCCCTTCTCCCTGCTAGGGAACCACCCACCTCATGCCCTGGGACCATGCCCTGGCTGAGACGCCAGCAGACCAGTGTTGCCTGTCCTTGTAGAAGCCATCTTTCCTTGACCTCCGTGTCCCTCTCAAACGTGTGTTTCCCGCTGTAAACTGCGCTAAATGCTATTTAGTAGCTAATTAACTTTCCTGTGAAGACCTCTCTAATTGCATGCTCTCCCCAGCTCTGCCTCGGTCCTGGGGGATCCCAGGCGGTCCAGGGGCATTTGTTCTGCCTGCTCCCACCTTCCCGGTGCAGCTTGCAGCCTGACAACAGACTGCCAATCAAGGCTGCAGAGGTCAAGGGGGACCGAATTAGGTGCCCTCCACTGCTGCCAAACTTGCTTGTCAAAGATTAATTTAAATAAGAAAGCAAAAAGGTTACGAAAAAGAATTTTCCCCAGTGAAACTCTCTGCCAGGCAGTAGAAGGACAGCATCCTTTGCTCCCCGGAACTTCCGGATCCTTCTCTGAAACCCTCAGCCGAATCCATTTCTATTTTGACTGTGCCGGAGCCTGCCATGCGTCACAGGGAGAGATAATCAGAAAATAAAAGGCTTTGATTAGCCCTTGCATATATCACCGCTGTGCCAATTAGGGCGCAGGCCCCATGCACGGGAGGCAGGATGTGGCAAAGGTAGGCGCTGTCTGCGCCACATCCAACCCACCCTACCCCACCCCCGCCCGCTCAGGGCCAAGAACCACCCTGGGCTTGGTTCATGGTTCCCAGATTTTATTTCTAGGACAGCCAGACATAATGGTCTTCATAGCAAGTCAATACTTGCCCTATAAAGGCCAGACAGTCTATGATCACTGCTGAGGCAGAAGCCCAACCCGAGCAGAGTGCGTCAGATCTCAGTCCTTAGCCTTCATCATCGCCACCGCCACCGTACAGGCTGCACCACCCCTGGATGTCCTCTGCTGGGGAACAATGTAACCCCACCTTCCTGCCCCAGGACCCTGCTTTAGTGAGAACAAAAGACAGAGACAAATCTACTCTCGTCAAAGCCGCAGCTAGCTAGCCTTGCCTTTGAAAGATGAAAGGCAAGGGTGTGTCCACCCTGGTGGTAACCAGAGTCCATGGTCCTGGCGGCCTCTTAGAAAAAGGCAGAGCCACCATGGCGGGAGCATGGCTTCCACCTCAGAAAGCGGTACGCTGGTGGGTCCTCAGTTCCCGGAGAGGGTTCAGCAAGTCTGACCTCCTTGGAAGGTACAGCTGCCTGAACCCAGAGCAGGGCTCCCTGGTGCTGGGGGCGGGGGAGGCAAGGGGACGGGCATGGCCTGTCACACCTGTGGGAGGGTCTGGACTTTAAGGTCTCGGCTCTTGCATTGACAGACTGGCCTCCCTCCCCGAGGTGGCTTCCAAGAAGACCCAGGATGTATTGTGCTCTAACAAAAGAGTTTTCAAACTTGGGTGCCCCCCACCCCAGAAGATATCAAGAGTTAATGGGAAGTGAGACTTGCCCAGAGGAGCTGCTACCTCCTGAAGAAGCGGTAGGTGGCCAGGGCCAGAGCAGTCCCTGGACACGGTCCCAACTAATCAAAGATTCATTCCAGGCCATGGAGATGTGAAGCAGGGAACATGTAGGACTTTAAGGATATATATAAATATTTTTCATTTTCATTATGGCTGTTTGAGACAGGGTCTCATGTAGCCTGGGCTAGCTTCAAAGCCACTATGTAGCCAAGGATGACTCCCGATGTTCCTGCCTCTGCCCGCTGAGCACCAGGGTTACAGGTGTGCAACACTACACCAGGTTTTTTGTAGTGCTGGGGAGAACCCAGGACTTCATGAACGCTAGGTATGTCACCAACTCAGCCACAATCCCAGACCCAGCACCGCTCTTCTTCAAAACAAAGTAGATGTGAGCAGGAACTTCCCCAGAACAGGACCTGATTCTTCTTGAGGATGAAGGCTGTGGGGTAGGGCCTGTCCTTTCAGCTCTATGACACAGTCTGGCTCTGAGAGCTTCCCAGAGCCAGACTCCAGAGAGGGCCAGGTTAAGGTTCCACACGGTTCAGTCTCGTGGGCACACAGTTACAGACCTAAAGGTGAGTGCAAAACCTTCACTTTCACACAACTTTAAAGAGAGCACTCTGTGTGTCCTGTGGGGGAAGCATGGGGTTGGGGGGCATAGGGGGCAGCATGGGGTGGGGAAGCATGGGGTGGGGAAGCATGGGGTGGGGAAGCAGGGGGTGGGGAGGAGCATGGGGCGGGAGCATGGGGTGGTGCAGTGGCTTGGTAGCCTTGAGGCTGTAGGACTTACTGCCTGTGAGAGACCAGGAAGGGAGAATCTCAAATCTGGAAGAACTAGATAGCCCAGCAACTCCAGGCTAGGTTTAGAGGAACAAACAAGGACAACAGTACAGAAGGATACCAAGAACCGAGTACTTTCTTCCCAAACGGAACACTGTGTGAATGTGTGTGCAGTAACGTTCTTG